TTTTTTTTTTTTGTCATTTTTTTTGAATTTGTCACTTTTTTTAAATTTCTATCACTTTTTGAATTTTTATCACTCTTTTTAGCGTTCTTCACTTTTTTCTATCACTTTCTTGAAATTTTTATCGCTTTTTGAGTGATAAACACCACTTTTTAATAAAAGAGACATTATATGTCATTGTTAATAAAAAGACTTAACTTTAAAAAGTGAAATTGTAATAATTAATTTTACACAATATTTTTTACTTTAAAAGTACTTTTCATATGATTTTTCAAAAGATCCTTAATCGTAAAGGTATTTTTATAAGTTACCCATCTTTTTTCTTGTATCTTTTTGAAACGTGGTAGAAACCATTGCACTATTTTAACACAAACTAGCTTTGCATGAAAAAAAAAAAAGTAAATAGAAAAAAATATATACATTAGTATTCAATAATAACGTAGAAATTATTGGATAATTGTTTCAAAAGTTTCACGAAATAGAATATCGAATTGAGTACCAGATTTGCAGTAAGCTTAAACACCATAAAAAAAACTTTTAATCCAAGGCCTGCGTTACACACAGTTTCCTTAAAACAGATTCGCCTCATCACCGTACGTGCTTGTGGTGTAATTTGAGCGCATGCTTACCAGGATACAACAGTGGAAACCTTAAGTTCTATTGCAATTTGTATTAATTCAATCATTCATCTATCTTCATTCACTTTTCGAAAATTTAAGCTCCAATAAACCTTAAGTTCTATTGCAATTTGTAACTTGTCCACTTATTTCATGGCAATTACAACAGGAATTTCAACTGTTTCAGAAAATGAAAAATCAGTAGAAAAATAAAATGTAGCAAAGCGTAGGCTCTTCTAAGGGGCCAATTTTTGGTCAATCCAGTCCGACAGTCGTGTACGAGGTCGCACCCGCACACAAGTTCAAGGTCCGATGCCTATTTCGGTCCGTGATTTGCACATCCCTGCGCGCACACGTGGAAAGAGCCTCTATACTGCACATGATTACACCATTCTAAAGTGCAATCATTTATAAAGTGGTTTTAGTTTCCATCCACTTCCTATGTGGGACAAACCTAATTTTTAGTTTTCCCATCAACATAAACTCCTTTCACATGGCATACTTTGAGCTTCAATTTCTCATTCACCCGAGCATCATTTTTGACAAATAAGTATAT